CACAGAGACCTGGGCAGCATTCTCTCTCCGTTCCTCCTTTTTGGCCTGAGATTCATTAGCAAAGACAATTATCAACTGGGCCAACAAGCCATGCCAGCTCACTTTGCTGGATACAGCTGAATGTGATGAGCCCATAATCCAGAGGTCAATGGATCAAATCATCCTCTGCTAGGTGGCTACTGCCTTTTGTTTTGTTGTTTCCGCCACTGAAGAATACGGAAGGAGAATCTTCCCACTTCTGATAGTGCGGGTTGGTAAAAATATGTATAGATTTGATCCTTGCTTCCCTCTCTTGTTAAACACCCAGGACTAGCCATGTCCTACTTCAAAAGTAATGGCTGTGGACCTGGAGGTCATGTGGCAGCCTTTTCTTTCCTAGACCAAATTCTCAGCCTGGCATAACTCAAAATAACAAAACTCCTGAAAGAATCTGTACAATTCCCTGCCAACCTTTTTCTCCTGCAGGCTTTTTCTATCAAAGGTTTCAGTTAGGGGTGCCACAAAGGGATTCAGGGGCCTGGACTTGAGAGGGGGTTGGCACCTGGTGGGGCATTCGCTCACCATCTGTCCCAAGACCCCCCCTCTGGTCTCCCCTCTCTGATAGCCAGGGTGTCTCTCTCCTCCTTAGTTGCCTAAGTGGTGTAGAGGCATCATGTGAGGTCCCCGATTGTGTGACCCAGGTTCAAGTCCTGGCTCATGCCTTCCCATTTCTGCCCTTCCTAGAGCCAAAGAGAGCACAGCCAGTCCAAAACTAAAGCTCAGGTGTTTGCCCTAGTGAGGGATAGTGCTAAAAAGGGTTTAATTAGTATCCATGTACACAAAGACAATGGAGATTATCACACTAGGGTCAATTCCAGAACCATCCCACAATTATCCCATTATTGGCAATGAACGGGACAGTAGCGCTGTGAGAATATATTTTTCTGTGCAGTTTCACAATCACGCTATAACCACAAACCAATAACGACACAATAGTGCTTTCGCATTCTTCAACTTTCCGTTCCCAGATTGTGACTGTGAAGTTTCACACATGCGAAAACTGATGACGGGAGCTTACACAATAGCACAATTGTATTGTTATCAGTTTCTGCACATTTGCAATAGCACAAACAAAGCGTTATTGGCAAGCCATTCACGGAGTTTCCCCGTTAATAAGTTATTACAGGACAATTACTGGTTATTCATGGGAGAAGTACTGGATGAATGTGATATCATGTGAAAATCTTCATGCAGTCGCACAATAATGACAGGAGCATTCTGTTTTTCTTCCATTTTATAACCCCATGTGATAATCTCCTATGCCATGATAACAGCAGCCAGGGTAGTATACGCAACACACTGGAAATCGGAGAAGACATCTACCATACAGGAATGGCAAATTAAACTACTGGTAAACGAATTTGCCACCATGGATAAATTATCCATGTATGCTGCAGGGAGATCACTACAACAATATGAAAAGAAATGGAAACCGATAATCTCCTATGTCAACTGGATCAACAAGCCATTCCAGCTCACTTCCCTGGACACAGCAGAAGTCTGCTGGACTCATAACCCAAAGGTCAAGGGATTGAAACCATCCCTTGCTATATCATTGCTGCTTTTGCCTTTGGTCTCTGATAGCAAGCCAAGCAGAGCAGGATCCTCTCTCCAACCCACTGGATGGCAACCTTCTTGCTAAACATTTCTAAATCCTCAGCGTCACCTCCTGCTGCCGTGCTTGCCCTGCCGGCTACCTGACCCCCAGCAGCCCTTTCCAGGTCTGGGTGGGTGATGAACAAGCGGCTGGGTGAGCAAGGCAATGGGAGGGTAGACTAGGCTGCCACTGCTGCCACCCAGCACCCCTTTCAGGGTCTGTCCAGGTAGCGGGTAGCCAGCTGAGAGGCAGGTGAGCAAAGCAGCGGGAGAGGAGGGTGGATGGATGGGGCAGCCCACTGCCCCCTCCCGCAGTCTTTCCCAGGCATCTGCACCAGGTGACACCAGTCCTGGTGATACACTTGGAGCAATAATTGTACCTCTCCTGAGGGCTGCGCCCCATAGCCTGAGGACCACTGCATTTATACCAATGGCCAATCACTAGCCTTATTGAAATCCTTTTCAAACATTCTACAAATCACTGCTCACTCTCAACATTTCCTCTCAACACTTCCTGACAGTCAGTGCTGTTTGACAGTGGAAGACGCTGCCTTTGAGAATGGTGGAGTCTCCTTCTTTGGAGGCCTTTAAACAAAGGATGGATGGCCATCTGTCAGAGATGCTTTGATTGAGAGTTCCTGCATGGCATAATGGGGTTGGACTGGATGGCCCTTAGGGTATCTTTCAACTTTATGATTCTATGAACATTCCATCCACTCATCCCCTCCCACCAGCTCCTTACCCAAATACCTCTGTCATACAGTATAGACCGAGGTAGGCAACCTAAGGCCCAGGGGCCGGATGTGGCCCCCGAGGCCTTTGGACTGCCACCCGCCATGATGATATTGATTATTGTTGTTATTACTTGTTTTTGGGGTTTTCTTGGCAAAATCTCCACAGGGGTTTTGCCATGGCTTTTCTGGGACTGAAAGAGTGTGCATGCATTTTTTAATGTTTTTATTTTTTTGCTTCGGCCCCCCAATTGTCTGAGGGACAGCAACCCGGCCTTCAGCTCAAAAAGGTTGCCTACCCTTGGTATAGACATATCCAAATTACCTTAATACTTAGAACAACATTTTCCACCAAAAGTCCATGATATTAGGAGGCCCTGGACTTGGGAGAGTCACCCATCCTGCAATCTAGTTTGCATGTGACCACGTCCCCATAAGGAAGAACAGGTTTCTTGGGAAACTATAGTGGAGGCACCTTAGAATCATGGAATCATAGAGTGGGAAATGACCCCAAGTGCCATCCAGTCTAACTCCCTGCCATGCAGGAAGGCATACTCAAAGCACTCCTGTCAGATGGCCATCCAGCCTCTGTTTACAAACCTCCAAAGAAGGAGACTCCACCATGGTCCGAAGGAGTGTCTTCCAGTATTGAATAGCTCTTACCATTAGGAGTGGCAACCTATCATGCCGACTTCTTTCTTTCTGTTAGTCTCAAAGGTGCTACAAGATCTCTCTACATACTGATTCTACAGACTAACATGGCTATATCTTTGAAACCTATCATGCAGTATTTGTATAAATATTAACACCACATATAGTAATAAAGATAAGGTAATAGATGATAGAGCAATATATATATAAGAGATCAGAAAGTGGGAACATATGAGAATGTCAATTAAGAATTAGATAGGAGTTAGCCAAGAGTAAAGAGGAGGAGAAGCAAACTTAAACATGTTTGGTATTATTATATACTTTTAGATGTAGTTATCTTCTTGAATTAAATAGATATTTATTTCTTTTTGAATTATTTGTCAATCAAGATCTATCCAAACATTGCATTTGACATGAGATTAATTAAGACTTGGAGAGATGGCCACGGAAGGATCCGATTAAGAAGTAAAAAGTGGAAAGAAGAATATACAAGAAACATACTGTGGAAGAAGAAAGAGATGGAAAAGAATACACAAGATTATTATTGTATATGTAAAATTGTAGATGTATTATTTTGTATTTTGCTTGCAAAAAATAAAAATAATTTTGAATACCTATATTTGTATATACATGCATCATGAGATATCTTAGAGAGGGGACTCAAATCTAAACATACAATTTATTTATGTTTTGCATACCCCTTATACACATAACCTGAAGTTAATTTTATACAATATTTTCAATAATTTTGACCATGAAATAAAGTTTATGTACAATGAATCATGAGAAAGTAATGGTGTCATCTTCTCAGCCACTCGTGAAAAAAGTTCTGTTTTTTGGAGTATTTTGAATTTTGGAATTCTGGATAAGGGAAACTCAACCTGTAATGTGAATATTGCATGTAATATGACTTTCCTTTAGCATGTAATATTAATAGTACAAATACTGCATGGAACCTTCCCTTTTTAGTTCTTGGAAGGACAAAAGCTCCTAGGTCCAATACTTTGAGGACCCACCTGGAAAGCAAGGATGACTCAAAAAGTGTCCTTGACCAAGAATCAAACCCAGGCCATGGCAATGAGAGTGCCAAATCCTAACCACTAGACCACCAGGGATGGATAGAGATGTTTTCTTCTTCCACCCAACAGGCTTTATCTGCCATAGTAACAAGCCAAGTTGTACACTTTGTTTGGCTTGTTGAGGATTCACATTTTGGGCCTCTCATACGCAAAGCAAGAATCAAATGTCCTAGTTCTTTTTATTTTCACAAACAAATGGCAAAAGATATTAATGAATTCCCCTCTCACAATTTTTAGGCACGCTCTTCACTTCTCTGTATGCATAGGTCCTAATTAAATCCTGGCAAATACCCCACTATGCAGAGAAGATGAGGGGTACCTTCTGGTTGGCTGCAACCTCTTTATCTCTTGGAAGGTCAAAAGTACAAGAGCTGTGTGCACCAGCCGGGACTCGAACCCGGGTCACAAGGTTGGGAACCTTGCATGATACCACTACACCACTGGTGCAGCTGATAAAAGGCATTTCTTTCCCCAGTAGAAAAACTCTGCAAACAAGAAAAACTGGCAGGATTCCTCTCTATGGAATCCCTCCAGAAGTCAGGCAATTTGGTGCCAGCTGAAGTTTGGCTCTTGAAAGGAAAGTCAGCCCTGTGGCTCCCTCTCCCAAAGGTATTAGTTTTGAGGCAAAATGTGCCTGGTTCTGGATCTCTTGTCAAAGAGGGAAGCACAGATTGTTTCTGTGTATATTCTTAGTGGACAATATAGCTAGCATGGCCAGCAGTGGAATGATTTTCCATCTGTCTTCATTGATGCCGGTCATAAAAGCAAAAGGATGCAGACGGCTAGCAGAGGATGGTTTCGATCCATCGACCTCTGGGTTATGGGCCCAGCACGCTCCCGCTGCGCCACTCTGCTAGATGACAGTAAGGGATCTTTAATGGCTTGTGAGGTGATTTTTCACTGAGCAACATTCAGATACTCAACTTTCTAAATATATTTATTTCCCAACATCCTTAGCCCATTGCAACATTTGGTCTTTATATCTTGTTCAACCTTCCTTTCTAAGAGTTTTTAATACAATTTGGGTGTTAGTTTGGGCTTATCTTCTAACAAAAGCTTATCTGTTTCATTCCTCTAAATGTCAAAAGCCAAGTTGTTGGTGGTTTTTTTGTCAGATTTGAATATTTCTTTTAACTGTTGGTATAAGAACCAGTGTGTTTTGTGTTCTAAGATTTGGGTGTATTTTATGTCTTTTAATTCTAGGTGTCCATTGTTTGTCTTTTTAATAATATCATCATATCTCGACCAGGATTTTGCTGTTTTATATCTGCCAAACATTGCTTCCTGGGGGAAAACAAACCCAGGAATTCTGCAGTAAAAAGCTGTTGGTATTATTAACCAAAATTTCAACAGGGCTTTCCTCAGTTGGCGGTATTTAAAATCTTTATGAACCTTCAGTTTGTCATACCACAGGTTTGCATGCCACCCATATCTGAGGTTAAAGCCCTCTAGATCTAATAGACTTTTGTTTTAGAGTTTTATCCAATCTTGTAGCAAGGCTAGCACATTGGCTTGAAAATACAGTTCCAGATTTTGGAAACCACACACACCTTTCTCTTTTTTATCTATTAAGGTTTTTCACTAAGTTCTGGATATTTTCCCTCCCATATAACTCTCTTCAGTTCTCTATTCCAAATCATGAACAGTTTTCAATTTGTTATGATGGGTAACACAAGGACACGAAACAATGGATGCAAGCTGCAAAAAAAGAGATTCCACCTCAACATTAGGAGGACCTTCCTGACAGTAAGGGCGGTTTGACAGTGGAACACACTCCCTCGGAGAGTAGTGGAGTCTCCTTCCTTGGAGGTCTTTAAGCAGAGGCTGGATGGCCATCTGTCAGGGATGCTTTGATTGGGAGTTCCTGCATGGCAGGGGGTTGGACTGGATGGCCCTTGGGGTCTCTTCCAACTCTATGATTCTATGATTCTATGATAAACTGGAAAAAAAGAAAATTAAATCTAGAAAGGACTGATATCTTAACCGCGGCGATTCTTCCATAAAAAGATAATTTAAGGTTTTTTTAAAGGTTTTAATACATCACTAAAAATATCAAAACATATATAACAACTATACTAGTCATAATATTTGGTTCTATTTACAATTATACATCATTTCCTTTAGTTCGTACACAGTGAGTACACTTTGTAAGTATAACTGATTTTATCAATCCATCTCAAATATCACATGTAAAACATTCTTACTAATAAAATAAAACTATTCCCATATTATCAGTCTCCTGGCTCATAAATTCCATCTTTCTTATATTCCTCTATTGGAGCCCATTCCTCATTCACCAAATCTAAATTCTTTTTATTGAGTAATTTCGTTAGTTTATCCATTTCTTTCATTTCTAGTAATTTTAGAAGCCATTCATCTACCATTGGTGTATCCTGTTGTTTCCATTTTTGAGCAATTAAAATTCTCGCTGCTGTAACCATATATAAAAGAATCCTCCAAAATGTTATCTCTATTGTTGGATTCAATTTTTTCATCATGTTTAATAAATAAATTTCTGGAGTTAATTCAAATTTTATCTTTAAAATGTTTTGTATGGTAATATGTATTTTTTTCCAATACTTCTATATTTCTTCACATTTCCACCATATATGATACCATGACCCCACATTGTGTTTGCATTTCCAACATTCTTTTGATTTTTTATTATAAATTTTTGTTATCCTTGCGGGGGTTAAATACCACCTCTGTTCCATATTCCAAAAATTTTCCTTCAAATCTTGTGAATTTGTAAATTTGTCCGTATTTTTCCTTGCACTCTCCCAATATTCTAAATTAATTGTCCTGTCTATGTAAGTAGCCCATTTAATCATATTATCTGAATTTTTTTCTGATTCTTGTTTCATTTCCATTAGTATCTTATAAAATTTGCTTTTTTTTTTACTTGAGGATTGTAACATTACCTTGTCTAGATCTGTCAGTTCATTTTCAAACCCTTGAAGTTTTTTATCAATCTTAAAAAGATAATTTAAGTTTTAACCAACCAATCATGTCCTTTTTGATTTCTTTCCATATCTTCCCATAATTATAATCAAAGAGATCAGTGTTCCTGTTAGATATGTAGATACCCAGATATTTGATTTTTTTAACTATCAGCCTTTGCAGACTGCCAGAAATAGTGCAAATTGAGTCCACT